AACATGAACATTAGCCATTATTTGTTTCTCAGTAATTTTCCACATGCCAGTCATCCTATCTTGGAACTCCTCCTCCATCTCAGACCAAACCTCTCTCCTGCTGCATGACTTTTCCCATGTGACCCTTTAAATAAATTCTAAGATTTTTCCCATAATTAATTAATCTCAGAAATCAAAATGAAACATGTCACCAGGGTCTTATTTAAAGCCAAGAAATCTGTTGGCTATTATCCATCCTTGTTTCTAAATTAAACAACCCCAAATACTATTCTCACCATCCTTGTTTGTTAATATCAGGCATTTTCTCCTCAGAGAACGAGGGCCTATACAACAAGGACTTTTGATATGTGCGCACCGTAACACGAAGTACACTTATATTTCATTTCAATGATATATAAGGACGTTTTCCTCTAAAATTTCCACATCCATGTGCTTTGAAAAGACTCACATACTAGAAATGAATTTTCCTGAGTAAAATACTGCCAGTTTTCATTTTCTGAATGATCCAAAGTATAACAGCTCAAAATCTTTTCTCAAAGTCTGACTCTTTGGGCCTGGTAACAATTTAACATACAACTAAATCTTTATGATTTACAGATGGATTGCTTGAATTATACTTTATCTTTGGTGACTCAGCTCTTCCCCACCTTTGCCACTTTGCCAGGTTCAAGTATGCTGGAAAGGAAGCAGAACTGAGTCAGGGTCAAACATGCAGAGTCTAATCATGGGGTGTGTGTATGTGTGTTTGAGAGAGAGAGACAGAGATTTGTTTAATTCCCAAGCCAAACTCAAGATGGTCCATTGTGTTGTTGGAGGAGATGGTTATCCCATTCTCCATGATGTTTTTATTTCACAGGGCTCATCCCTGTATCAAAATATCTCACGTGTACCATAGAAGCTGTGAAAGAATTCTGACAGGGGAGATGAGAGACATGAGATAAATGGGGAAGTAGAGAATAGAAGCATGAATATGTGATGGCACGTGTGACTTTGCCATTAATTTTATTATCTTGGCAGAAGACCTTAGATCAATGAGGAAAGTGGATGGAAGACAGGGCAAGCTAAAATTTAGCTCTCTAGATGGAATCTTTTGCTTATGTTTTTTTCTTTTTATTTTTTTTCCCCACTGTGTTTGTTTCTGGGGAGTATATTCTATAGCAGAAAGACTCCCCCCAAATACTCTACATTTTACCAAAAAAAATGGAAAAGCATACATGTGAAACTATTGTCAGACATAGATAGAAAAGAGACCAAAGAGAAATCTTCACCTTTGCGTCTTCAATTTCAACAGGTGCGTTGTATGTTCCTTTAAAATCTGATGCTTTGGCTACACTCAGGCCTTTCTGCAGTAACCTTAGCAGATGCTTAAGGAACCTAAATTGCTGAAGCCAGTTCCAGT